GTGTCGTTGGTGGGGCTCTGTGTCATCCCTGCTGACAGATCCATTTGCAGATTAGGGCATTAAGTGCCAAATGATGGCTGTACGGTACAGCAGCCTCTGTTGCTTTTTACAGATTCAGACTAACACGGCTACCCCTCTGATGCATAATCTTTTTCAGTGTTTTTACTCCGCTGAGACTGAAGCAAGTTCACAGCAGTTAAGGAATTGTTAGACACTGGCTATGGAGCAATAGCTGCAGTAAGATCATAACAGATATTACAGTGTAATTTTTAGCAAAAATAAGCTACTTTAACCATTTCATAGGCATTTTATGTACTTTGGGCTTGAGTCATCAGGGCGAGGTGTGGGAGAGTAGCTCCCTGGTGGGCCTTTGTTCCTCAAGATCCCACAGAGTGAAGTAAGCTGAGGGGTGTGCGAGATGCAGACTAGCCAGACTGCAGGACACTGCGCCAGATGTCTGGGAGGGATATAGTTTCCCTAGAATAGCTTCCAAAGCGTCTGTCAGTAGCTGGCCCCAAACAGCTGCCCTCCCTCTCAATTTGAAGCTTTTTTGCACACTGAAGCAACCACCCACCCTGACAACATGAGTCACTAACACTACATATAGGTCCCTATGTCTGCCACCTCCCACATCCCACCTTCTTCACTTCCAGTTTAAATCCTGACTGCAATGCTCCATATTTTCATTGTTTTTTTTAAATTTGGCGAGCAACAAGGCTTCCATCACATCCCTTGGGAAGCTAATCCACAGTCTAATATTTCAAAGTAGCAGTTTTTCCTGATATCCAGCTTTGACTTGGGAAATGCTCAGATCCTATGAGGAAGGCTGTATATCGACAACCCCAGTTAACTTTTCCTACATTCCATTCCATCCTAGTTACATTTGCTGCATCTCTTGCTAGCAACAAAGGGCTTTGGGACTGCTAGACAGTTTTGAACTTCCAAACAAACTAGAAACAACGTGATATGTTCTGCAGCCACCAAAGTTACTTACAAACAAAACTTGACGGAACTCGGGCATGATTTATGATTCAACAGAGAATCTCTCGTCAGGTGGATGCTTAGCAAAGAGAGAATCTAACCTAGTTTCCATTCTATTCAGTATACGGTGAACTAGACAACGTTCTCATCGGCCAATAAGCATTCAGATTTCACCAACCTTCTGAAGTTGTCTTCACTTCTACACTGAAGATTGTCTAGGTGTAAATACCACCCTTGTGATGGCACTTAAACCGTTCCCCTCACTGATCCTCAATGATTGTACCCCTCCCTGATACGCAGTGGCGTTCCAACTCATTAATGCTCACTGAGTGAGGTTCTACTGTACTGGACTGTGGACCGACAAAACAAAATGGGATCCACGAAAACATACAATCATGAACTTTTTTTTTTTTCAGTTGACTAGTACCTGCAACACAAACTAAATATTGTCAGTTATCTGTGAGCGTGAGCAGCTCTGAGAAAGTTTGGTCATGCTGTTTAGAGCCCAGAGGAAATATATATGGAAAACGCATACAGACGGGCCATTCACAGGCCTTTGTTAAGTCAACCGGTATTTGGAAGCATTTGAATTCAAAAAGAGCAGCAAAAAGACTGGGATAAAACCAGCCAAGTCAGAGATAAGCCCTAAATCAGGGTGGTGTTCGTTTGAAGCAGTATTGTGCAATCTCCTATTCACAGGATTACACGGTGTTTCGGATTACCAGGAACGCCGCAGTCGATCAGACTGAACCTCGGGTTTAGTCCTGCTTTCAATAAAGATCAGCCAGTCTGCCAAGGTACCCCAGCTGCTCTCCTGGCTGTACCTTGACCCTGACTCCACCCGTCTCCAATGCAGCGCACAGGGTCTGTGGCCTGCCAGACCCTGAGAGCGCCATCATTACTGTTATATGAAGTCAGCTCAGCATTATGACAGTCCCAGTCCCCAGGGATGGTGGTGCACTGCATACATACTTGAACACTACGAAATTCTCTACCTTGTTCGAGCCATCACATTGTTCTTCTTGGGCTGCTGATTAACTGGGCTTCCCATGTTGCCGTTCTTCAGGGACCCCTTTCGAGCTAACTCCCTCTGCTTCTCTGTATCAGGAATACAAAGGGGAAAACAAAGTTAGTAAAGTTCTTTTCCTGGCTACCATGCAGCCGCTGACACGGAATTCTGAGCTGGTGAAAAGTGTAGCAAGGATTAGAAGAAGCCAGAGAGAGGGAAGTTCTTGATCTCCAAAGCAGGGACAGCTCAAGAAAAGTGCCAGCTTTGTCCCTATTCCACCCTGCTCTGTAAGATGCCTCATGCCTTACTCTGGTGTTGGGGTGGGGGAAGGGGCAGCTAGCCCATGAAAGCTTTGACTCTGTTGGGACTGCCAGGAAAGGGTCCAAGTTGGCACTCTCAGAAGCTCAAAATGGCAAAGAATCTGCCACCAATGCAGGACGTTGTGCTGGTTTTAGTGCTTAGTCCAATCTAGTTTTTGACCACTTTCCTGGGAGACAATTCCACAACCTAATAGTTTCCACTGCCTGAAGGATTATTACCGTCCAAGCTCCTTTCAGTTCTAGACCGTTTATTATCTGTCCCCAGAGGTGTGGTCACATTCTTCCCACACTGAATCTCTTTGTTCTTTTCTGTCCTTACCCCTCATTTCTCTAGATAATTTTATAAATGTCGACCCTTTGAGCATTTTGCCTGATTTTCAACCAGTATTTTAGTTTGCTCAAGGTTCAAGTGGTCAATGAGATGGAATCTTAAAAATGTGACAGCCTGAGGATTTTTTGGAATTATAAGTGGGGATCAAAATCAGCTTTAATTAGGGAGAGACTACGACCTCTACCTAATAAACGGCTCACCTACAGAGCTAGGATTAGAATCCAGCTCCACAAACTCCCCTCCTTGCAGAACGAGTGCTAGCTAGGTCCTTAAGACAGACTATGCATTATTTCTATGGCAGTAGTGACCAGAGACTCCAATAAGGATGGGAGCCCACCTTCTACTAGGTGCTATACAGCCATGCAGGAAGACATGATCTCAGCCCAAACAAGCTAGCCATCTAATATTAGACAAAGGGTAACAAGTGGGTGCAGCAAACAAGAGGGGGAAATGTGGGAAAGACACTGAAGATAACAGTAGAGGAAAGAAGAGTTCTGCTTTCAGTAACAGAAGAACCTTATGTTTGAAGGGGGAATCAGCCAACAGAGGCATTCAGATACAAGGTTGATGGGCTCTGAAACGATATAGAATAGAACATACACAAACTGTGCACAATTCTTACCCCACTGATGTCAATGGTGACTAAACTCCCATTGACATCTGTAGGAATAGGTTTGGGCCCCTAATTCTCACGGGTATGTGCTAGAGGGAGGCAGACATTGGACAGGAGTGAACATTTCAAATCAGGGTGAATTTTTCATGATGCTGTAACTCAAACATAGATTGGTCATTTCCTCTTCAGACATCTGGTATATCTCAGGTCAAATGAATTTTCCTTACCAAAGACATATGGGGATACAACAGGGCATTATGGTGGAAACTGGTTGCAACCTTTACTGCAAAAAGGCAACTGCCTCTCTGTAATGTAACAGAGGCCTCTGGTTGTGCATACAAATATACAGACAATACCACCCTTGGAAAAGTATTGGCAGCTCAAAGAGGTTTCATAATTCATAAAAGGCACCTGACTCCACACAGCTTCCGAACGCAAACAGGGAATGATAGTTCTGTTCTGCCAGGCAAGTTTGTGGGTTGGAGTGAGCCAATGTCTCCTGTATGACCCCTTCTCTTCCTATTTAGTGACTGGGGTAAAATTTTCAACAGTGCTTAATCTGACACTTAGAGTAGGGTTACCATATCTCATAAATAAAAAGAGAGGACCCTCCATGGGCCCTGGCCATGCCCATTTCCCCACCCCTAGCCCCGCCCCAACTCCGCCCCTCCTCCCTTCCACTCCCAGTCAGGCGGAAAGGGCTGCCCCAGTGCTACCGGCTTCAGGGTTTGCCGGGCAGCCCCCAGACCCTGCGCCCCCAGTCGGCACTTCCCCAGCGCAGCTGGAGCCCGGGAGGGGAAGCGCCCAGCTGGGGCCGCAGGGTCTGGAGGCTGCCCGGCAAATCGTGAAG